TCATTGGGCACCTTTTTGCCAGGCCAGGGCTGGCTTAGACTAAGTCTTTGGTGTCAGCAACCTGAATAGGCTTGACAGCATGAGGCTGCTACCAAGCTAGTGAACCTGAGATAAAGGTCGCTTGCCGCATAGTGGCACAGACATTTTTTGTTCCGGGACTCTTGTTGAAACCGGGGGACGTGCTCATATCCTTCTGTTGGATTGACTTTCAGACAATTTTTTGGTCGGTTGTTTCCTTGGTCTTCTGAGCTGGAATTGCTGATGTAAAGCAGGCAGCACCGAGTGTCGTGCGTCAACTTCAGGAACTCTTCGCAGAGATGAACGAGCCGGTCCTGGAACAAGTGGCACAGATTCAGCCATCGACCGTCCTGTCTTTCTCCCACTATTTGCCCCGGCAGGACGCTCCGTAGAGGCTCCGTCACCAGAAGTCAGTAGTCGCTATAGTGGTTTTCCGGCTTAGTCGCATTTCCAGTTCAGTGGTGTAGACTGCGTCCAATCCCGAAAGCAAAGTGAGTTGAATGGTGGAATTACAAAGACCTGAGCTACCGGGCATGTACATGTTCTAAGAAGGCAAGCATGGCCTAATCACCACATGGTCGATTGGTGCGACTGGATGGAAGACGGGTATGGTATGGATTTGAAATGGACACCTCCTCCTATTGTTCTTTTGCCAGTGCGGTGTTTGGCATTTCTTGTTCAGTGTTAGAAGCTCTAGAATCCTGACACAAAAAATTCGGGCCTGTTCCAACCAGGGAATAATGTTAAGATTGCCACGTTCCTTCACAGACAGAACTTTACACAAGCAAAAACCGAATAAGCCAGCCCTGTGGTGGATAGTTCCGTTCCTTTCTTGAACTCTGCGAGGAATCTCGTCCTGCCACACGCCCATGTTGTGAAGTTGTGACACTTGTGAGGAGCTTTTTCCCGAGAAGCGCTTCTTGCTGGACTCGAGCTTGCACAAAGTCTCCGGCTCACTGAAGTTGGAAGAACAGATCCGACGGGTGAAGCCTGACACATGGCCGCACTGACCTCCACCCGAGGTCCCCAGAACTGACCGGGGTCCATGACGGTGACGTGTGGCACGCTGCTGGGGAACAGAACTGCTGGGTGCCAATCCTACTCGGATTTCAAGATTCGCCCAGAAATGACTGCCGCCCCCGGGCTCCCTCGCAAATTTAGAAGGGATCAAGTGGCACGAACCAGAGCTGATCCTGAACCACCACTGTGACAACCTCAGAAGTTGATGAATTCGCTGAGGATGTGCATGTCTTCGGGCACACTCATTTGACGGTGGATATGGTCCTGGATGGGCAACGTTATGTCCAGTGGGCCTTGGGCACGCCACGTGAGCAGGCGGCCATGTCCCGGGCGGTGGCTGACTCTGGAATGCTGATTTTGTGTCTTGGCAGTGGTCGAAGGCCTCTCCATGGCTCCATTCATTGCATCATAATTCAGCCAGGACACCTGGATGATTTCGGGATGGTGAAGTAAGTGCAACCTTGGTCAAGGGGATGATGCAATTATCGAAGAACGGCAGCCTTGCCAGCATCCAGCATGTTGGATGCTGTGGCTATGCACATGAGATGATCAATACAGAGTTCCATATTAAACATCGATATCCAATCGATACGACAAAAACACACACGGTGTTGCTATATGGGCCGTCAGTTTTGAGCGCCTGCGCTGCCTGCGCTTGCTTCTAAAATGGAAGGCCCTTTTGCAGGATTTCGGGGAACAGATGCACATAATGCACACACACATGTATATATATATATACATATATTATATACAATTATATAATGACCTTAGGAAACCAAATTGGGATTTGGGATGGTGGATTCCCATCTAGACTTTGTGGACATTGGTTTGAGCATCCAAAAAGCAGTACTTGGCCGATCTGTGAACCCGCCATCTCACAGCTGGGCTGGCGCCCATCTCACAATCCTCGCTTGGTGGCGGTGAAAACCTCGGGCAAGGTACGACTCGATGGCGGAGCCTTGTGTTGCCCCGGTGCAGGACGAGTCGACGCGGCGGAGCCTCGCGCGAGCGTAACGCGGTTGGTTGGGGTGAGCCGGGTGAGCATGGTGGTTGGAGGAGTCAATCTGAAACCTAGTAGCTTCTTGTTACTAGTAGTAAGGCCAGGAGCCCCTAGTAGCGTCATTGTTCCTGAAGCGGCTGAACCACATTTGTTTCACGGGTTCTTTGGATCCCTGCAAGTTCGGGTGTGCGCAGGTCGTGACATCACTATCACATCCGTGTCACCAGACTCCATACAGGTGGCATTGGCTGTTGCTTCTTGCTACCTGATGGTCCATGAGATCAACTGCACCTACTGTTGGGTTCTGGGACGATCTGGGACGTCACTATTCTTTGATCTCTTCAAGTTGGCTAATTGCAGCAGATGTGGTGTAGTGCCAGGTGACCGGCAAGTGCCAGGCGACCAGCTCCATGCCCTATCCCCCCTCTCCTCGAAGCACTTTGGCAGGAGACCTTTTGGGGGCAATACTTCAGTGCTGGCAAGAGGGATCCAAGTCAGATCTGTCCTGCCCCCTTTGTCCGGAAGTATTTCGGGCAGATGTTCAAGGAGTTGGAGACGCTGGGACTCAGGAAGCCAACGGAAGCCGACTGCACGCAAGGAAGCCCCTCCCCAGGCTAGAAAGCCTCAAAATGTCCCAGCCCGTCCCACAGTCCCACATGCTTGGTTTCAGGAGTTGCGTATACAGTACATACACGTGACATCACGAGACCCATCGATTGAAGTCTTTTGCTTTTGAAACTGCATGCCCCCGGGCTTCGCTGATGGCCTTGAGGCTTCCCTACGACGACGACTTCTTTCAGACGACCCCCAACCCCGGGCCTCCGATCGAGACCTATGAAGGGCTTTTCGAGCCCCGTTGGCGCTTCTGAAAAAGGACGACCGGTGAAAAGTACGTACTTTTCACGAAAGCGAGCGTCAGGCGGTGTCAGCTAGCTGGAGTTAGTCTTGCTTTAGCAAGTCATTGGCTGGGGGATGGAATGATCTACCCAGTGAATGATTCGGATGGGTAAGAACCTCGGAGCACCATGGACCACGGTCATAGCCGAGTGTTCTGCGAGTGCGTCGGTCTGCAGGGATCCAGCAACCGCGCGGTTCAGCGCCGAGGTTGCAACATCCGTGCAGTGGGAGCTGCAGCCCTCCGTTTCCCCCCTGGTTTGCAGAGGCCAAGGGGCCGCCAGAAAGATGTGTCTCAACGTGGGAGGTTTGTCAACCTTGAGTGACGTTCATATTGCTTATAATCTATATTCTCCTTTTGACGCACATCAGATTTCAGGTTTCAGCCTCAGCATGTCTCAACAGAGAGATCCGGAGCCAGCTCAAAGGCCAGGAACCTGGGGCATCTAAAGTGCGAACAACTCCAATGGCCCGAAGTCCTCCCCAAAAAGGGGAACCATCAGCTCCATCGACCGCCAGGTTGCGGCTGATTTTGCACAAGTGCGACATCGGGCCAGAAGGGGCCAAAGCCCACCCCTTGGATATCGGATCGCAAATGGGCCAAACTGAAATTGTGTACCCTTCCTTGGGGGCACCATCACCTCATTCAGAGTAGAAGTTATATATATATATATATATCTGATGATGTGCCCCTCAACTAGTTGTGAATCCAGTTCATTTGTTTCCCAGGATTGAGGAGTTTTGTCATGTCTTGACACACGTCCACGAGTCGTGAGGCCTTGTCTTTGCCTGGCTCCCTGGAACACTTGGAGCTAGATCTCTCGTCGGGGCCCAAGGGCGAGCACACAGTTTCAAGCGGCTTCAGGATTTCTCAGAAATGTTGCGGAGTTGCTTTGAGACCTCATTTGTCTTCTTACTTGGTTCTTTTCCATCCTTGCTTGTGCTTGAACCTGTTTGCAGTTTCGTTGGGCGGGTGATGCTGCATGTTTTTGCATGTGGCTGCTGGGCATTTTGGAGATTTGCTCCCAAACAAGGGTTTGCTTGGCGCAGCTCAGGGTGCGGCGTGCGGACAGTATTCGTCTACTGTACACTGTACACCAATTCAATGCAGACGGATGACGGGAGCCTGGTGCGTCGGTCGATGGCGACATGAGACGCCATTCTCCGTAAACAGTGGTGTTCAGAGTAGATGGCACAACCCCCCAATATACACCGCCTTTTGGTGATTGTGCCATCTTCCCTCGATCCACTACAAGTTTCTCTCTATCTCTCGCTCCTTATGGTGCTGAGCTTGCATTTCGCCACTGGTTTCCTTAACTGGCAACTACATTCTTGACGACCATCTCACATGGAAGTCCGGTCGCTCGTCTCACGGCCCCCGTCCTCAGGCACTGCCTCATTGGACCAGTGGGGGCTGCCACTCTGCAGGCCTACGGAGCCGGGTGGCGCACGTAGCAGGTTGGTATACCTTGTTATACCAACGCGGTTGATCTAGTCTAATCCTCACTCACTTCTGGCCTCAGTCTATCGGGCCATATCGCCGCACCAAGTCGCTGTGAATTGGTAAGACTGGTGATGAGTTTCACCTTCCCTTCGCACTGTGGAGCTGTGGAACCCTTTCCTTCGCACTGCGCCACGCCTTGGCAGCTGCCGCGGGCCTTACGTGAACTGGATCTCGTCCTCCTTCGCTGTGGCATTGGTGCCAGGGGTGCCAAGGCAGACTGTGGGGATTGACGTTCCAATCCACGGGTGCCAGGCAAGCCTTCATGGTTCGCATAGATATATAGGGTATGGTAGGATCGTTAGGCTTGGTGGAGATTGGGCCGCCAAGACGCCAGCACCAGAAATCGACACCAAGGGTATTTTCATGTATGTTCTAATTTTGGCTAATAACTTGATCCAACCAAGATCTTAGAGCTTGACCACAACCAGTGAAACTTCTTCTGACCAGCCGGTGCCTTTTAGTTGCTTTTTGGCTCAGACACGGCAAACATTGCAGAAAGTTAAGGAATTGAACAAACATCCTTGGACTCCACGATGCGTTCATAATTGTTGATTTCTGAATGAATGTTCTGCCTGTCATGCCTGTTATGCATTCATATTAACTTCATCATTTTGGCAGCCGTTTGGCGCCACCAGACCGTTTCATCACACCCGCTTGACGCATCATCCGGTCGCCCGGCTTGGCATCCCGTCATCCAGTTCTTCCACGAAAAGGCAAGGCAAACAGGTTAACACCCCGCTTGTTTCCGGGGGATTCTCAGCACGTCACATGTACTGCACCCCGGATGGCTGCCTTTCTTCTGTGTGTGCAGGACTCGGGCCTATGCAGGGTTCATCCTTCAGTCACTGATCCCATCAGTCGCGGGCTCCGCGCGAGATGCGCGCGAGAGGCGGAGCGCGAGATGCGGATCCGTCTGAAGACGGAGGCCGATGCGGATCGCATCTGAGAACAGGCCCTCTTAAAGGCCTACTCACAGATCAAGATTGCACATGGGTCCTTGCATATAGTTGAGTGCGGATGTGGGGCCGACTTGATCTGCAAAGAAGGTTCTGGAAGCTGGGCTCGACAGCTGCCAGTTCATGTGCTGGGAGACCCCCATTGGATCTTGAAACCTGTTGGATCTTGTTGGTGCCTCTTAGATGGGGAGGCTGGATCTTCGTGCGCATTCTCGCACAGCCTTTGGGGATGAAACCTGAGGATGTGATGCACCGGCGATCTCCAAGATGGGGTTCCCCCGAACGACCACACCTCGACCATCAGATATTTTCCACCCTCGCCCCGAACAGATGGGAGAGGATTTGGCCCAGACTCACTGAAGGCCTTCAACAGGACCCACCTAACAAGCCTACAGAGGCTCCTAGGGATGTTAGGTGATGTTAGGGGAACGGATTGGTCCTCTGAGGTGGCTTGATCCTAGTGGCCACTCTGGCAACCGCTTGGTCTTCCAATACCACGCTTCTGCCCGCGCTTTTCACTGAGGCAGGTGGCTCAGGATCACAACATGAAGAGACCCAGTGTTTGGAGGTGTCATTTGCATGGACAGGTTGCGAATATGTGTACAAGTCGACGTGCATCAACTGGAACACTGGATCACCGCACACATTTGCACAGTGACAGTTGCAAGTACAATACTGTAGTTCCTCACTCATACTACATCATACTGTCATTGATACAGTATTGGCAGTCTTGTCATGTATTGTCCAACGGCAGTGTCGCCCAGGACTGTCAGGACGTGAACCACGAGTGGTGGAACCATCCTTACGCGCCTGGGAGGGAAACGAAGCCTCCAAGAAGGGGGCGAGCCCCTACAGAGGCTGGGAGATGGCGGTGAAAAAAGACACCAAGAATCATTTGAAGAAACAGGGTGATGAACAAAGAACGCAGACAGAGAGAGAGAGAGAGGAAAACAAACAAATAGAACAGAACAGAAAGAAAGACACGGTGAAGATGAGCAAAGATGAAAAAGATGGTGATGGGAGCCAGCTCCATGCGGAGTCTTTCCTTTTTGTGGGAAGGTCACCTGAGACAGTGGTAATAATTGTGTTTTCTCAAAAGGATAAGAACATCTATGTCCAAATGGGGGGTAGTTGGTTGTTGCCCCAGCTGAGGGTATTGTGGTTTATCATGAAAAATGCAGCAAACGCGCAGGAAGTGCCGTGGTTAGTTCCAAAATAGTCAGATGACTTCCTTTCATGTCCATGTTGTTAGTGGAAGAACTGGCTGCTGTGGCCGCTAACAAAACGTACAGGTGTCTTCATTCTATGTGTTTAAGCAATCTCCATGTAAGTGGCCTACAGATGATGGGCAAGTCGGCAAGTCTTTTATTGTTGGAGCGTTTGGCAAGCAGCCGTTTTGAAGGGAAACCTGCGCTGTTTCCCATAGTTTCTTTTTTGGTTGTGGCATGCTTGAGGCCCTTTGCAAGGTCTATGTTAAATATAGTTCCTGATAATATGTTTCCAATTAGGGAGTGATTTGGTGTCAATCGCGACCACTAACAAAAGCAATCAACAACATGTATCATTTTTCTTCTTCAAAAGTTTATCTTAGGGCTGTTAGGGTGTTTGCTTTGTCACCGGCTAAGCTGGCCGGAGGAATCAATCCAACATGGACATTCGAATGAAGTTGCATGTGAAGGATGAAAGCAAGTATATAATATGCTTAACTTCATCACTTTTGGAAATTGTAGGAACAAGAAGCTATTAGTAACAAGTGCCACGCTAGTAGTAGCAGGTGCCTTACAACGAGGGCCGTTTATACTTAGCGAACTTATAAGTAGATATCAGACTTACAAGAAGTTAGATGGAAGTTATGAAAACATATCTTACTTAGTAAAATCTGAGCAACCGTAAGTTTTTGTAAGTGTTTGTAACTTCAAATAACTTCATGCAAGTTTTCTCTTTAATTGAGTCGTCAGCAGAGAAGGAGAATGCTGTTGTCCAGCCGTTTGTGCCAGTGGCTAGGCTTTTGCCAAGCGCTGGAAAAATCCGCATCAGCAACCAGTTTCGTGTCGCCCTTTGGGCGCCACAAGGTCACGTTGTTGCAAGCCCAGCTCTCAACCTTGGCGGTGGGACAGAGAAACCATTCAACCGAAATCACTTCAAACACAGGTTTTGTTGCTGCGGCCCCCAGAGCCGCAGCGACCGTCAAAGCTACTTAAGTTATTTAAGACTAAAAATGATTGTCTATATACATGGTTTTGTGTAGACGCGTGCGAAGATGATCAACGAATGTTGTTCACAACAACAATCATACGGCGGCTTTGAGGGCCGCTGCGGCTTTGAGGGCCGCTGCGGCTTTGGGGGCCGCTAATAGAACAGGGGAAAATTTTCATGGTATATATGGAGGTCGATGAGGAAAAATGGTGGAAAACTTGCTAATCCACGGTCCAAAAAACTCTATCGTAGAGGTCGATGTGCACCCAAGCGCGATCGCGAAATCTCAAACAAGCTCGTACCAAACCGCTGCCACGCGGGCTTATCACAAAATCATCTTTGTAGACACGGCCTGCTTCCAGATCTAAAGCGGCGCCTTCTAGCACAGACACCATCGAACCATCTACAAGCTTCTGACTTTCAGATACTGGAGGTGTGAGGTCACCAGGCAAGCACGGCTTGTCGAAAAGGCGGCAGTGGCTGTTCAAAAGACGCGTCAAGACGCCTTCTGAAAACAGGAATGGATCATGTAGCATCCCATCCAGCCTGTTTTGAAGTTGATACTTATACGTCCTGTGTTTTGCCTCTTGTGGGAAGCAGTCCACACAAAGTTGAGTACGCCAGATCATGTCACACAGGTGCAATTGGTAATGGTGCTTCGGCTTGCAGTTTTCATAGGCCAAAAGGTAAAGCTCCAAGTAGGTTTCGGTTTGCTTCAAAAGTTGTTGGCATTTGACTTTCGAGATCCCACATTGAAAGCTGGCCAAAATCTCCAGAAGCTTAACCAGGGCATAAAAGGATTGAAGCTCAGCCTGAACAGGCTCAGTGTCGTCGATTGACTCCATGATGTGATAAAGCATCAAAGGAATGAGCATTCTCAAATCACTGGCTGAGCCACGGTAAGCATCACCAGAGAACTTTTGTGCATCAGCCAAATTCTTTCGCCAGGACTGCCCTTTTCGCGTACTACTACACCAAGGGGTGCCCTGAATTTTTCCGGCTAGATCTTCACAAGTAAAATTGCACTTGGTCGCAAGTACTGACATCAAGTTGACAACCTCCCAAGCTGCCACACCTGATGCCCAGAAAATATGCATTGGATCAAAAAGCACGGCACTTGGTTTCAAAATTTCCCTGGCCTCAGCGTGAGCGAACAAAGCATTTGGATTCCAATTGAAGCCAGCAAGCTTCTCGAGTTTTTCTTTGTCCTTTTTTTTCATTGTGGGCGTGTCTCGGGCCATCATATCCCAAAGCTCAAAAACTTCCTGGTCACTCCAGAGATCAAACTTGGACCATTTGGTTTCCGAAATTTCTGTAAGATAGTTCTCACCATCAACAAGATTGGAATCTCTTTTGCACACGTTTTTGCACGCTATACACGCTTTGATCGAAGCGCTGCCTCTCCAATTGTACGTTGCCCTGATGGCATCAAAGTCTGCAATGAAATTTGCTTTCATGATGTCAATGCGAAGAAGCCTTTGATTCCCATCCAGTTCCAAGGGAATGCCATGTTGCATATCAAAAGATCGCACCAACAAAACCACTTCTCGCATCATTCTGGAAAAACCACCGCTCACTGTCTCCAAGCTTTTGTGTTGCGCCACCAGCAATGGGATCCAGCTTTCCTCTTTGTGCCTCTGCTGCAACTCCACCATAGTAAAGTATCCAATGGCAATCTTCTTGGAAGAATGCGGTGCTAGCGGGTTTCCTGAAATCACTTCATCCCAATAAAACAAAGGTTTGAAGGACTCTCCGTTAGACCTGTCAATGATGTGGACAAGTCTCCTCGCGAAGGCACCATTCTGGGATGCCAAATGCTGCAAGAACTTTGGTATGTGAGTCACAGCTACATGGATCATCTGTCCATCTTTGTTTTCTCCCACTGGCAGTTTTACTGTGCAATCGTGTGGTAGTTCTTTGTGGACTTTGCGCTTGTAACCTGAGTAAGACTTGGGAATCACTTCTGGGCGAGCAATCTGAAAAATGCCATGCAACGCCTTCTCAGTGCAGCCTGGCACTTTCAAGCATTCGCGTAGCACAAGGTCATCTTCATGGCCATG